TTTTTTTTGAACAGGTTCGCCTTGACCGTTGTTATGGCTTTCTGTCTATGGTACGGAGTAATAGGACTTACATTGGAGAGAAAAGCTCTTAAAGCTGCCAAGCAGTCGATGCGGCAGTTACTTAATGATTGACAGTGACTTTTGCCTTGTATTTGTTTTAGTATTCTACCGCAATAGGTGAGTAGCAACTTGATGGTGCAATTCTAGGTCATGTTTATGTACATTTTAGTCGACTTCGTCCATAAAGGTGATAGATCCTGTAAATATAGGTAGCCAATCCAATTACTGGTGAAGTCCAACAGTTGTAGTCATGCTGTCTCTTATCCGTTACTTCCATCTGTGATAGGTTATAATTTCATCCACAAATTTCACATGTTTTCTTGAATAAATTTACTGCCAGTGTTCAAATATTTTGTTGTTGGTGCTGTTTTCACGGTCACATATCGATGTTTTTTATTGTCTTCGAAATCGAACTTCTTCAAATCCCCTAAAGATTTTTCGAACTTTCCAGATCATGAATCGGTTTCTAAGCTGGATCAAAAGCAGAGCCGATCAAAATGTTGTCTCGTATTCGAGATTCGGGTTGCCAGGTAATTTTCGTAAATCTTCGAAGGGAGTACTCGTTGAAACGATTATTTGAACCCTTCATTCCATGAAACGACTCGTGGCCCATTCTCTTTACCAACTTTTCTGCGAAATTTGCGGTTTGGTTCCTTTACAAAACGCGAAAGGAAGGGGGTGTACGGGGATGGGGCTGTGCAAATATGGCCGTAAAGAAACCACAGCAAACCGTGATTAGGTGAACGCTGAACTACATCGTCTTGATCTGATTTTTTCCGTTATGTTTCTACCTATGGCGNGGTAGTAATAACAGCTTCTATCGTCCTGACTACCTAGGTGAATCGATATGGTTTCGAATGCTGTTTACGAATATGGAAATGGAATGCCAAAAGGGTTTCCCAAAAAAGGCAGGGGCGCTGAATATCGGTCGAGATAGTGCCAATTGGAAATGCCCATTTGAAGCGTTGCTACTAAGCATGGGTGATGTAACGGCAAAGCTCTCACCCCTCGAACGGGGGATGGAAATCTGTTTTTTTGCCACGGTCAAGGTTTTTGCACAGTATTTTCCGTTCCAGCAGTTATAAGTAAGTTTATTACGTCTACGGAAAGAAAACGTGTAAAAGCAGTCCAAGATCACTATAACATCAGAACTGTAGCACTGAGAACGCTAAGCAAAGTATTTGGTCGTGACGGGGAGCAAACCCACACACTTCGCTTGAAGAACAGTCATAACACCACCTTGGCGCTTGATATCAACATTTAGACTGCACATTTCCAGTTGGCGTTATTTTCAAGTAGAACTTGATCGTTCACCACTTTTTTTTACTTGATCTGTAGTTTCGGTTTTCGTTAACAACATTACAAGCTCTATCGATAAATCTAGGTGTCAGTACCAATCCCCTCGAGGAGTTGAATGTGCTTTCGCAGTAAATTTACCACACAGGGGGATTTTCATGAGTGGCAGCTTCGCATAGGATATGCTACAGGTCAAATGCGTGGTCCGAAATTACGCTGATCAGCAAGAAGCCATTACTTTTTTTACTATTTGTTACTTCAGGTGATGAGTTAGATGACCGCCCTCCTCCCACTGTTATTCATGTAGCTCCATTTCGTGAAGATAGCCCAGAGTTCTTTGCCTTTGGTACTCATGCACAGAGAGCAGCAGTGGTTTGTTTATTTTTGAAATAAGCCATAATTCCCTATGGCTCGGATTCTCACCTTAATATTCAGGTATCTGCCGGTGTCGGACTATCTCTGGTCATATTTTTGTTCCTCTCAGTCTTTTTCGAGTTTGACTGGTATCATCATGAGAAGGGCGTCGATTTGGGAGCACTTAGTGAGTTAAGCTTTAAACTTCAGTGAATATGTAGGACTATTGCTGTTGTCTGTTGTAATTGTGCGGTGTTGGTCTTCCATCGAAAGTTGCAAAGTCGGGACATTCTCCGCTGATAGTTGGAGTTCTCTCATATAGAGGTGTTATACATGTTTAAAGTCTAACTTTAGTTGGTTTGCTGTTATTCCTTATCGGTGGTATGTTGATTCACTGGTACGTCGTTCATGGAATAAAAGTCGGTCAACCACGCTACCTTGTCCCGTTCATCATTGTCTACACGGTGGTTCTTGTTCTTGAGGCGATATTCTTCGTCTTCGTCATGTAAGTGCTGCTGCTTTTCGAAACCGGTTTTGCTTTTTTAATCTTTTCATTTAGAAATCATGTTGTGGTCTTAAGCTATTTGAAAACGGTGCCTCCTCAGACTTCATCGGTATGTCGTTACTTTCTAGTAGTGGTTCAACCAATTCTTAGAATGCTTCAGTCGATTTATTGACGCCTTCTTACTTCTACTTATGTTTAATATACTTGGTTTTATTGAATTTTTGTTATTCATCGGTTATACTATTCATGTGATTGAACAGGGCTACGTGATTGTGACGGCAATGTTCGTATTCGCTATGGGTGTACAAGGCGTGATGCTTACAGCAGTGGTAAGGTCAGTACGTTCGTCCAAAAGCTTAATTATTATCATTGGATTGAATTTTATACGTTTCTTTTGTCCATACTTCCTTCACAGCTCGATAGATCACATGAAAATATCTTTTAAAGAGAGAGATACTTGAATAGTTAAGCTGTGCTCTTAAGGTGTCGAAATTACCTCGAGAAACGTCAAATTCACGATCTAGAGATGCGTGTTGCCGAAAAAAGTGTGAGTACTATATTTTTTTCGCACAGTTACTCGAGATCTCTCGAGCTAGGAATACGTGGTGCCGAAATGAAAGTAAAAACCATTTTCTTCATGTTCGCATTATAGTTTCAGTTTCTCTTTAACGCTGGGCTTGGTGTGTGTGTGCTGAAACAGTACCTTCGTTCTTAGACATCAACTTTTTCCATACAAGTGCTCCCTTTGGTGTGCCTGCTGCAGCGTGCTTTAATCAATTTTTAGCATAACAGCTAGAAGTTCGATTCTAAGGGCTATTTTCCATATGCTCTCGTCACTGGCTTGACCATTTCCCAGCGGTGGCTCACTTATTCAGAAGTTTTATTGCACTGGATCATCGTAGACACGGGGTTCTATGGGCGAACGCGCTTGCTGATAGAATAACTATAAGTGAGACTCTTGATTTTTTATGCTTTTGGACGTTCCTTGCCGATTCTGTGAAGCACCAGTTTTTTGGGCCTGCCTCGGCTTTCTCAGCGGTTTGCTTCTGGTTCTTTTCTGTGTATTCTACACTTACATGGGTTCATTACGTAATCCACATAGTAGAATTTTCGCGGTCTTCGAGGCTAGATTTTTGGAATGCAAGTGTATATTAGATTACATACAGACTTTGAACCGAAAAAGGAAAGAATCTTGTCAACCTGTGCATATGGCCAGTTTACAATGAATACTCTTCAGAAGCTCCAGCATCCCGGCATCATCATAGTTTTTGGAGCTGGTGATACGGATCCGCGCAACTCACCATCCGGTGCCGTCTCTTCCAATTCCACCGTCGCTCCACCTTCTTACGATAGTGCCACTCATGCAGCAAACGGTAACGCCCAACCTGCTGCGACGACTGTCCCACAACGAACAGTGCTACAAGCCGAGGATGGAATAATTTGAATATGAGAGAAATCTCGGGTATTTCATGGCTAGGTGGGACCACTACGTTCACTGAATACGGCGTTTAAGTGCAAGCTACTAAAAAAGGCAATTATGGGATTTTAACGTGTAGCTAACATATTTTTTGGTTCCAAAATACTTGGAGCTGTCGTAATTCGTAAAATTGCTCCATCCATAGATTCCAGTTCGTTTTACTGAGTGTTTCAAAATCAGAATATCGATTCATTATTTTGTGGGAATTTATAACGCTTCGGGAAGTTTCGAGTAAGTTGTTGAGCAAAGTGTTAATGCGATTAGTTGCGTTTAGAAAGCAATCTTCCGATTTTAAGTGAATGAAATTCTGAAAAAACGGATCAGCGTATTTTGCCGCCATTCTGCGGTCGGTTTTCTCTAAGATTTGTTGATTTAAAAAAAAAAACCTAGACCTCTATGGACTAAAACTTCGTTAGTTCAGATGAAATCTGTTGTACGGGATTGTAGAGAACTGCGTTGAGATTTGTATGTGTGTGAAAAGTGCTTACCCATGGTCATACTTGTGGCTACGACATCCCAACGGCCTCCAAGCGTGAGCTGGAAATTGCTCAAGCTGTTGTCGGAACGGTATAATACTCAATAGTTGCTATACATACTTTGTCCCGTCGTTGTTCCTTTTGGTTTACTTCCGTCTGGAACAGCACATGCACTTCTCAATTCTCTAGAATCCTTGCAAAGAGTTGACAAATGGGAAATTTACTGGGTCAACAGGTTCAGCGGTGTTTACTAAACATTTCGCTGTTTACTGGTAACGAAAGCCCACTTTCTTCATTCTGTAGTAAATATTTATTTTTGGGTTGTATATAAACTGTAAAGTAGTGTATGCCAGTCAGTGATGACTGGCAATAAGAGTATATCTGCATCTTATACCAAATTCTCAAGTGATATTGGTAGTAGAGTATTTATTTTAACAACATTGGGCCGTTTACATGAAATGTGGCGTGTTTGGCGTGTCTTTATAACTAGTAACAGTATTACAATGTGGAGTGGATTTTCGTTTTGACTGATTCGTTATATGTAAGTGAGCATTTCTGATTTCAACGTTTCGGCAACTGTGAAAATTTCTGACTCAGAGATTGTGTTCTTGATGTGCAATGTTCGCTTTATTGTAGTTCGATATAGTAAGTATAATGGATTTATACATGAAAGATAATTGCATTTGTACAGATTGGCGGCTATAAAATCATTTGAGCGCACAGCACTTCTTTTGGTAATCGTTTTGGAGGAAGTAGCGTAGAGGCAAGCGATAAGATGTGCTCGTAGTCGTGTTATGCACAGAGACTGGAACAGGTTGTTCACTACAAAAACGTGAATTTTCTCAAGAGTATCTCTTCAAATTCATCCTTTGTGAAACATTGGCGAGATTCGGAAATAAGTGGCTTCTTTTCTACCTTTCATCCGCTATCAATTTTGGGGTAACGGAACTTATCCCCAAACTCCCACTGTCTGCGGCAGTGGTTCCGCGGCGACTCTCCGTATCCTTACATTGTGATTCAAATCTTTCCCTTCATAGCGTGCGGCGAGCACGACACACCGCTTGGGGGAGAAGATGCCAGAACCTCAATTTCGCCTGATTGGCTCACCCAGCCTAGGGCTATTCTTTGTTGCCACTGGTTTATCGCGGAATGTGGGATTAACAAACTCGTTTCTGTCAGTTCTTCGTCTTTGAAAACCGTGCTATGATTGTGCCTTCGCAAAACAAACAGCAACAAGAATTACCGAGGGAAAGGGCAGGTGAGAAAGAAGAACTACCGAGGGAAAGGGCCAGGTAAGAGAAAGCCTCTCATGTAAGAGTTTGCTCAAACCGCTTCAAACTAAATGAGACAGAGAGACTCTGTACAGGGTGACTGACAAGTGAAGGACGCGACGTTTGGCGCTGCTGGCACCCCGTCATTGGGTGTTTTCAAAATCCTTCGGGACTTTTAGAGGGCGCGGGAGCTGTACAAGGAGCCTTATAAGTCATTTGATTGACCGCTCGCCTGAACAATCGCTATGAAAGCTTCTTCACAACGACTTACCATCGAGAAGTTGTTCAAGGAAGGTTTCAGGTGTCGTGACATGGCAAAGCGACTCGGAGTTACCTCTTCAGCCGTTCAAAATGTCTCTGCTGCTCAATACTAAGGGATACCCCCTGAGGTGCCGAAAAGTGGACGACCGAAAGCAGTGGACACACCGAGGATTCGGGCCGTTATAAGGAAAAGGATTATCAGCAACGATAGAATCAAGTTGTGCATCTTTTGAATCTCAATATACGAGAGGCGATTCGCGGACGCATTACGCTTCTTATAATGCGCTCCTTCCCACTGTGGGATACCCTGGCTGGCTACCCGGCTACCTCAACCCAGTCCCCACGTCAAAATAGCGAGGTACTCATGGTATTCCATTTGCCAAAAACAGTAATATAAATTTGCTTCTGCGCTGAACCTTAGAAAGCCCCCAATAAGAAGGGCCGCTCGGGAGAGACTGCTAAAATCTCAGGGCCATAATAAGCTGCCCAAAAAAGGAAGATAGTATTTAGTATGAGATAGTATTTAGCAAAGAATAAAGAGCTAATAGGGTGAGTAATCAAATGAAGCTTTCCGCGTCTCCACTCCAACGAGAACAGCGAGTTCCACATACAATACCAATGTGTGGCGATATGTAATAATTCAAACCGAGCAAAGACAGTGTTCTTAACAATAAAAAAGTTAGTATTAACGTATTCTTCATAATGAATGAGCGAAAAAGAATGAAATTAACAGATTAACATGCAAATGTAACCCACCACCGCACAATTCTCCGACATATGCGTGCCAAATTAAACCCCAAAGCCATATAATTGCGCAAAACATACAAAGAGTAGGATAATAACATTAACCAATAAAATATCTACAAAACAGTGACGATGCCAGGACCAACACTGAGGATGGAATGATTTATTTATGAGGGTAGCACCCTTATATACACACTCCCCCTCTGTCGTGCCTGTGCTCTTATACTTCTTCATTCTACACTCTCGCACGTTCACTCACACCCTCACACCTTCCCCTAGTGACCCTACGGTCACACAAGGTACTAAGCATACTCTTCGGGGTGAGGAGGTTCAACCTTATGTTCACCTCCTCCTCACCCACCAGTGTTTCTTGACACCAACACTATTTCAAACATATTTATTATCAAATACTACCCTCACCGGAGTTTCCTCGAGCCTCATTTCTCAAGCCCACGCGGGCCGGGTTCGGGCTTCGGGTTCTTCGACTTGAGGATCAGCTGCGACTTCTTGATCTTCGTCTTGGGCTGGTTCGACCTCCGGACCTCGCCGCCGCAGCTCCTATTCCTGCCGGGACCAATACCACTGGGGGCCGCCTGGAGTTGAGGAGTTGAGAATATTTATTACTACACCAGGTGGCACTCATATATGAAGAACATCTTATCATTATTGTCCTCCTATGCTATTGTTGACTTCTTCCATTCCTCGTCCTCGTCCATCTTTCCATTCATCTACACCTAAACCGGTCTCCCCCCTAACATCCCTCCGTAGTGACCACATGGTCACTTAACTCCGATACACACACAACAAGGGGAGTTCGGCTCCTTATCGCCTACGTCTCTCCGTGGAAGTTCGGCTTCTTCGCCTACGTCTCCCACCAATCCAATACACCCAACACATTTATTAGACACAACAAACACATTTATTAGACATATTTCCACATTCTTGATCAAAATCTTCGCGACGATCATTTTCTTCGTAGTGGCATCTCGGTCCTCACGCGACTGGGCCAGCGAGCCTCTCGCGTTGGGGCGGGTGTGGTTGCAGGGGACACTCTCGTCCCGCCACGCCATTGCAACGGTGGGAGGAGACGTACCCACGCCGGGGGTCTTCTCCCCCGGCCACGACGTCTTCCTCTTGACTGTCCTCCATTGCTTTGCGGCGACTGGTACATCGGAATACATACAGCTTGCGGCTGCGGTTGCGGCAAGACGACCAGCTGCGGAGACGGAGCCATGTGAACTTGGCTCCCTCGGAACGGCGTACGGCTATCAACTGGCAAGGCAGCCATGGACGACATCGAAACCATCGGGGCCACAAATACCGGCTGGTTAGCCGTGGCCCACTGAGACTGCACTGCACTCATCCAACACCGTTTTTACTGGTTTTTTCCTCCTTTATTTCTTTATATATATGTCGTTTTCGCGTTTTCTTCTTTATCGTTATACTACTGTAGGCTCTACTTTATCTTTTTCGTCGAACCGGTATATCCCAAAATTGTTGGTGAACTGTGCCTTGAAGCGAGGAACGTTCACTAGAAACAGAGTAGTTCTTGGTGCTCCTACTATTAACATCTCAGAATGCTCTGGCTATGCGGACCTGGATGGACCTAGGTCCGAAAAGATCACAGCATGGGAATCATCAAAGAGTATTGTTGCTTAGCGTAATCGCACCCGGTGGATCGCAGTAAAAGATTAGATTGAGTGCAACGAGAGAGATAGCGACATACAAAGCTAATCCAGTAAAAAAGGGGTTATTTGANTAGTCTCGACTGACATTACTTCGCGCCGAGGTGCGAAGGGACTTCCTTAATGACTAACCTCATCTTAATTACGCGCCTCCCCTTNTAGATTGAGTGCAACGAGAGAGATAGCGACATACAAAGCTAATCCAGTAAAAAAGGGGTTATTTGACCTAGTCGAGTTCCAGTGCCAAAGTGAAAAGTGAAAAAATACTGAAAAAATCAAAATTCGAAAGGGCGCTGAAATGGACTACAGAAAATCACGTGCGAGATTATTCGGCCTACGACAGAGGTCTCCGAGATTGGTGGGGCAAGGAAGAAGAGTGAAGCGGCATGTTCTTTGGTGGCTACAATAGCATTAGGTAGAAACAATGAATTTAAAAATAAACAATGAAATACAAGCTTTATTTTAAACATGCCACTAGTAGCTAGCACGTTTGTTTTTTCAGATTTCCTGAAAATATGGCCTGTTGAATA